TATATATATATATATATATATATATATATATATATATATATGTATGAAGATAATATTTTTTCTGTTATCTAAAGATTGATATGAACTTATATGAAAAAGATTTATATGAAAATATCGATAAAACTGAAAAATATTGCATACATCTTTTTTTTAATAAATATGTAAAGTGTGTGACAACTAGATCCGGCTTCCTTCTCTACGTAGCAAAGGTTTACGAGACGAGGCCATGGCACAAGACACTTGTAAACTAAAATTGATGAGGAATGCTGAAACGCTGTATCACTGAATTGAATTCACTGACCTGGTCTAGCGAGCTCTGTGTGAGTGTGTAGTCGGTGGTCTTAAGCTCCTCGGCCAAGAGCTTCAGCATGTTGAAGCTCACGCTGAGCGCCATGTCCTGGCTCCGTGGTAGCAAAAGTCGAGCAGCCGTAGCCTGCCTCGAAGAGATCATCGCCTGTGGCAGATATTTCAGGATGGCTCTCCTAAGATCCGCGGCAGCAACGGGTTGGCTGAACCGCAGGAAGGCGACGTATCCCTCGCCGAATCTAAAAGTCAAGCGAGATCTTCGAGTTTCCGGGCAAGCGAGCTCGCGGTACAGCGCGTCGCGCGACGATACACAACATTTAGTTCTCTCACGATAACGTAATAATCGCGACTACGAGATGATAACGCCAAAGTCAATTCTGAAGTGAAGGGAAAAACTCGCAATAAAAAAAAAAAGGCCTGTGGTCGACGCGCTCAAACCGACGATTTGTTCACCTTCGCGCTGTGCATGCGTCAGATTGAGAGCGCGATATCAATATTTCAAACTCGTTCACGGACAAAGGACGCGGTAGATGAGCTTTTACCATGCTCTCTGTAGCCGGTGTGTAACAAAGTGCATTCGCCATTCTTTATCATTCAACCTGCACTCGCCGCCGACACACGAGCGGATTGCAGGATGGGCCGCTAACGTGGGCAAGACCAAATCGTAAATTCTATCCTCGATGGCGAAACGGCGCCACGAAGGGGGGAGGCAGGGAGAGGCCGAGGATGGTAGAAGGACGTTCTCCGAGATACTTTCCGAGACACTTCTGTGCGGACGTAGCAGAGTTAAATATTTACGGCGCTCTACGTTATTCCGAATAGGCCACGCCGCGTGCGTTTAGAAACTGGACGGATTTTCCTCGCTACGAATGCGCATAATTGATTTCCATCGACGAAAGTGGCCGACATAGAGTCGGTCTTATCGCGTCACAGATTGCGCAGCCATCGATCGGACTAATACTTGCGATCATTACTACTCTTTGTGAACCGATTCGCCGGGACAGGCACAATCGTTGCGCAGCCTCAAGCCTCTTAACCGCAAGAATTACTGTTAAAAGCACTTAGATTGAATTAAATTTCCTGGCCGTTTCTAATTAAAATGCGCTATGGCAACTGCAAAATTCTCTTTGACAGGACGTTGCCGAGGAAAAAATGCGTGCCGGTTTAAATCGGGCAGCGAAGCGCTCTCTAACAGACTCCGGCCACCACTATTTTCCCCAACACTCCGCTATATTTCCGTTATATATTAGGACCTTAACTTAGTTTCCGCCCAAAAAATACTGAGAAAAAGCATTTATTGTAAAAAATTTATTTAAATTATTTCAATGAAAGTATTTTCCATCACTTTCTACAACTTTTTGCCATCTTTCTGGCAACTGGGCGATACCATCTCGATAAAACGATGTTTGTTTCGAAGCAATCCATTCGTCCACCCATTCTCGCACTTCTTCAACATTTCGGAAGCGTGTACCACTCAAGCCGTGCTGCATCGATCTGAACAAGTGGTAATCAGAAGGCGCTATGTCTGGTGAGTACGCTGG